TCTTTTTTTTTTTTGGTGTGTGTGGCCAAAATGTCCTTAGGCTTTCTGTGTCTTTTCGGCTTTCCTAATTAGTGAATATGAAGGCATTGTAATAATTAACCCCATCATCTATCAGGACTATTCCAGAATTAGAAACTTAAATATCGGCTGAATATTTATGAAATTTTTTTTTTCAAGGATGAAAAAATATTTTCTCATTAATTGAGAGACTTCCACGTTAATGTGTTTTATTTTTGTTGTTGTTTGCTGACATTATGTCTGSTTGGGAATAAATAAATTAATAAATAAGTGTGCAGCGCTTTTTTTGAAGTCATGGCAGGTTATTATTTCTTTTCTGGTGAGTAAAACGCAAATAAATGAATGGAGAGGGAAAAAAGAAAAAAAAAAGWTTAATTGTTTTCTGAAATGTCCATGCCTGAAACGATTATTAGGAGTTATAATTGCAAATAAATAACACCTATTAAATATGGTGAGATTTTAAAAAAATGAATAAAGCAAGACATCTAGAGATGAGATTAAAAAAATAAATAAAAAATGAAGCTTTTAAGCACACTGATGAGTAATTATCTTGGGAGGATGCTGATTTTTTAAAAATCTCCCCTCCTTTGTTTTTAATTCTCCTTGATTTGATTTGGAAGAGGCCATGCCCTTTGTTTATTAACCGTGTTKTTGCTCGGTGTGTTAACTTTACAACTTGCTGTCGTTCACAGGACAGACATTTTCATTGAGGCAACTTGGGATTTGTGAGCCACCGGCTCGCAGAGGCTTGGCTCTCTGCCCCGAGCCCGGCCGGTCCCACCCCCTCAGCAGCTACGCCAGGGGGCCGACTGTCACAGAAAACCATGAACCTGTATCACCGGAACGTACCATGGCTCTTTGGGGAACGGGGGCAAAATCTGGTCAGAATTCATGCCTCTCCAGCCGCTCTAACTCAGCGCTCACGCTCACTGACACGGAAATGGACAATAAATCGGACACCGAGATGGGTGAGTGGGGCACGCTTTCCCCATTTTTATTTCTAAATCCTTATTTGTTTGCAGCTCACGCCTTCTGCTTTCCAAAAAGGGGAGAAATCACTAGGTAGAAAGAAAAAAAAAGCAGCGGTGGGCTGGATTATGGTTGGTGCTGGAGACGAGACCCTGATTGGTGGAAGGAAGTGGAACTGGTGGGGCTGCTATCTGGAGAGGCATTTGCAGCTGTCTTTGTTTGGATCAAAGGCGCGAGTGTGCGCCGCTTCAGAGAAGAATTTGGCCTTCAGATTGAGTAGTTGCTAGTCACCTGGTCCAGCTCYGCGGGAAGCCGAGGAGTTTGATAAAGTTTCCCCATGGGCTATCGTATAATCAAAGATAGCTTTTGTGTGCCTCAGCCTGAGATTTTGCTTGGAAATTCGACAGCGGTTGACTGGGCATACATAATGGCTGATTAAATGGGCACAATGGTTTGAAGTGCAAATTTGATCATGCTGAAAACCTGAGATGGAGGATTGGGGGCTCCTCTGTTTGAGAGGACAAATCTTTAGTTCATCAAATAGAGGTGGTGTTTATGAATTGACTAAACRTGTACCTGTTTTGCACATTTTGATGTTGTCATGCTAGCATTTTTATCCTTACTTTCAACATTTTGACAGCTTACAGCCTAGAAGTACCTTTATTAATTTTTTTCCTACCTGTTTGTCTTCTACGGAGCCCGCGAGGGGACACAGGAGATTTTTTTTTCATTTGCGTTCCCACGCAATACTATTATGTTACCTCACAATACCTTTTGCGTTCCATCGCAAAAGTCGTTAAACACTGTTGTGCCTGCTGGTTTAGTAACAAACTCAAATGTTCACCATTAGCGAGTTAGCCTACTGCTTTAATTCAGCTTCAGAATGAATATATCACACAGCCACGCATGGAAGTATGTCATATGCTGATATTTGAACGCAGTGCAGCCACGCAACATCCATGCCGATTTCACGAACTGTGGCGGCACATCCTGTTTTGGTGCCGGATATTTCAAAATAAAAGTCTGATTTAATTCAGTTTGTATAGAAAAAAAACTTTTGCWTGGGAACGCAAAACAATTTTGCGAGGTTACGCAAAAAGTTTTGCGAGGCAACGCAAAAAGTTTTGCTAGGTAACGCAATAGTGTTGCGTGGGAACCCAAAAGAAAAAAAATCCCCCATGTTCCCTCGCGGGCTCCGTAGTCTTCCGCTCAAAGTCGGTGTGTCTTTGCATATTATGATGTAGAGCTTTTGAAATGAGTTTTTCGAAGTTGATGCGTTTGTCATTATTATAGCGCGGGCCGTCACCATTACAACACGTGCAACGTAAAGCTCTAATTATTTTAAGGAATCAACGGTATCAAAGACTGGCAGGCAGTTTAAATAATTAGAGTTGATTACACATTGCTGGCAGGAACATTAAAGAAGAGGGTAAAAAGGAAAATGTCTCGTACCCCTGCTATCAATTTTTATACCGAAAACATTGGCTACAGTCTGACATTTGAGACAAGTCATTTTCTTAATAGCGGCATTCATCATGGTGAACTTGCCTCCTGGGGGGTGAGCTGAGTTACTCTCGTACCTTTTCAAAATGCCATCAGAATTCAAATTTATGTATKTTTCCCCCTTTATCTGGCCTTTTTTCCAAATCCACTCCGTACATATAAGTGACTCAGTCTTCAAACTCATGCGAACATCCCAATCACCTCCTCGGTGTGTGACTCGAGTCATGTTTGTTGTTCCACATGCTAAAAATGTAACTCTATCGTTCGACGTCGCTCTGTTCTACAGGAAAAAAATGCCGTTTTGCTTCAATAGATTTTCTCCTGAGCTTTGATTTCTTCTGCCCTGCACCACTTACACTGCGTGACCCCTCACGCACTCATACACACACCACGGTGTGCCTCCGAGGCGTTTTGTTTCTTTAAGAAACGGCTCAAAAAGCTGCTGCTGATTGGCYCCAGTTTGTGCAGCCTCCTACTGAGATTTAAGCTCACTCACAAGGCGAAATAGAGTTTAGGTTTTAGTTGATTAAAGGGAGAAAATATCTACTTTCGGTCTGCTTTTTCTCATGTTTTTTTGTAAGAAGTTACAAATGTCAGTAGTTTTACCTGCATGTTGCAGGTACAATTTAAAATCCTAACTTATTTTGTAAATTAAGAGCCAGAGTATATAAAAAGCATTTCCTCCTTCCACCTTTCTAGATTTTACTATTTCTTTTTTTTTTYCTTTCCGTTGGTAGGAGGTATTGCACTTTTGACTTTCACTATTTAATGAAGCAGCTAAGAGAAATGACCCATCCAAAGGTTTCTATCAACTCAATATGCATGCGGAAGCTCCGACAAGGGGCCGTTCAGCCCCACTTATTCATAAATGAACTCGATATTTCATTCTAATTTGCTCTGTTCTACGGAGTGTTCGACACAGACAAGTACCAAAGCCCGAGCTCATTCAGAGAGCGCGGCGTGCGCAGATGTTCACCTCTGAGAGATGGCTCCACCCTTTTTAAAGGTGAACGCGCGGTGGTCAGGGGGGGTCATTGGCACAGTGAGAAGAGCTAAACGACCCATTTGGGATCGCAGGCTGAATGAGAGGATACTTGTGTTGTAAAGTGATGAGCTTGCATTTTTCTACTTTTTATGCAAATGTGGAAAGATTTTTATTTTATTTTATTTTTTATTTTACTTTAATGACCAATTGACTGATTTACTTATTTAGTTTTTCTCATGTTTTTTTTTTGTAAGAAGTTACAAATGTCAGTAGTTTTACCTGCATGTTGCAGGTAAAATTTAAAATCCTAACTTAWTTTGTAAATTAAGAGCCAGAGTATATACGTAAAAAGCATTTCCTCCTTCCACCTTTCTAGATTTTATTATTTCTTTTTTTTCTTCCTTTCCGCTGGTAGGAGGTATTGAGTTTGATTAATACCACCTGTCCAGAGGTTTTGGGTCCGGGTATGTGAAGATTTGTCGAAGTATTTGAATAGTTATATTTGACCCTTTCCGTCTGTTTGCTTATTGGCTATCTTAGGTGATRTCACTATAGAGAAAAACACTTCTCATATGATTTCCACTGCCTTATGCATCGCAAAGAAAACCATACTCTTAAATTGGAAAAATAAAAATGATCTTAGCATTAATCAGTATAAAAATCTGTTAGATCATTATAGTCTTGAAACAGCCTCTGCCGCCACATCAGATACATCTATTTGGGCTCCTTTGATTAGTTCTATCACATGG